CTTTGCCTGGAGGTGATATCATGTACCGAGTCGTTCACTTTACAGGCTCTATAATGTGCCCAAATGAAGCAATATCAAGTGCCAAAAATAGCGGCGAAGAGGAGCGTAAACATGGCGTAATGGAGTCGTGCCGACATCCTTGCCCTGCCTTTATTGGTACAGTCTCAAGAGGAAGTAGTGCTCAATTTTCTTCACCGTGTATGGGTGTTGACCAAGATGTATCAACTTCAACCAGTTAACTTGTTCAACATGTGGATACAAAACGAATTTTTCTTCTCTGGTGATGAAGTTTGTCCTTCGCATCACGCTAACTCCTTTCACACTTTTTAAAAATTAAGAAGACGCATCCTAATCTTAACTGAACTGTTCATAATAGCCGAGTGGGAGGGCGGGCAGCTCATTTCCCACCGCTGTATCCCGTAAATAAGGAACTTACATTCAAATTTGTTATTGTGACATTTGTACGTAAGAAAAATCTGGAGGAGGAGCTCAATTTTATTGTCTACGGTGTAGTTAAATCGTACGTAGGTTAATACGTACATGGATGATCGAAAGAATGACTATAGTGAGTCAATATTTTTCTTCCTTAAATAGTACGAAAATTAATAACCCAGACCAAAAGGAAAATAATTCGTTTCCAATAGAAAAGTTGATAATAGAAATAAACCGAAGTAGATAATTCGTTAAAGTATTAAGTAGATTTTAGCCAAATTTTCATGAAATATTTTTAAATGAAGAAACAGTAATTGCAGTTCGCAAACGCATCTTAAGGAATTAAATATATTTATATAAATTAAAAAAATTCTGGGCTGTAAGAATGACATTCAAATTTTCCGGGAACGTCCGCACATGAAATAGACACAGTAGCCGCAGGGAGCTTGACCCAAGGATGCCATTGCACAGCCTAGCCGAGGTATTCGAGAAATGTGCTTCATGTTAGGAAACTCCTATTACAATCTCATAAAAAAATATTACAGATGAATCAAGAGAGATTTTTCTTTTCGGCTGATGGGAATGGTATAATTTGGCATAAAAAAAATGACCAATATAAATCATACAACCTTGAACATTTGAGCTCGTGAAAACTTTCTGGTTAATTAACTGCATCTGTCAGCTGAGGCAACTAAATTAATACCTCAACAATATAGTGAGGCTGATAGGTAACAGAAAGTGACAACAACACGTTGTAAATCAAGCTACATAGTTCATGATTTTTTTGCAAACAACGAAGGAAAAAACATGGATGATTGTGAAGAGGCACAGTTGCACTCTCCAGGTGTGAAATAAATCTGTATATATATAGTCTGCAATTCCTGGCCCTTCATAAGGTGACGGTTGAGGAAACGAAGTCAATTGGTTTTCACAGCAACCAAGACTTGTTTCGCATAATTTAAGTTCCCTTATTTAGGAAAAGGTAGATACATCGAACCCCCTAGGCCCCAAATAATCCATATGATGTAGGTTTGTCGAGCTGGGTGAGCATCCAATAGCAGTCTAAAATTATTTTATATCCTCATGGACGTTGTTTTATATCGAATTTACATCTGCAAAAGACCGCAATAAAATGTTTCTTCTACCATAATTTTAGACTCAACATCTATAAAAACATTGATTTCTACAGTTCAAACCAAGGAAATTTAAATTAGAAGTTTGCGTTTTATCCTATATGAAACAAACTGCCACGAAGAATGAAATGAATTATGGCTATTTTACAAAAAAATGGAGTTATCTATTCATGTTAAATCGAAACTGACGATTAATGTTGTTCAATTACTGAGCATTTGATACATGTTTTTGAAAAGGTTTTGCAGTTAATTTGACACTATTAAACAGATCAGTATTACTTATCATTGTTTTTCGTCACCATCCTAAATTCTGAAGAAGTTAACCTGAAGTAATATTTTGTTCAGAAGAGTAACTTCATCATTGATCATTTTTGAATAAGTGCCGCGGAAAGGATCGATTAAACTTCGTAATTACGGCGAACAGTCAGGCGCCGCTGACACGCATGGAATTATCATCCTGCTCCATAGAATGCAAAACTTTGCGCCCATACTCCTTATTTGCATACAACGAGACGGCGGTGATGGAATAATGCAAATTTGGTGTCTTCTTTCTCCAATGAAAGAGTGTCAAAATATTATGCACGAATTTTCAGGGAATATTCGAATAAACTCGTTTATCAATAAACACAACGAAACAAGGTAATAATTTATAATTATGCAGTATTACTTCTTCCTAGTCAGATGGCTATTACACAAAACTATAAAACTTTTAATTTGTTCCGCCGTTGACTAGCCGATGTCCTACATCGAACACCTTTGAGCCAAGACAGGAATTTTCGAAGGTAAACTAAACAGTAAAAAGACCGGAACCGTCGAAACAGTAAAATTAATTACGTTCTGCAGTTATATGTCTTAGGCGATGAAGACATCCTGACGGGGCAGTTGTTGATACATACTGTATAGTAGTCCTGAATTTAATCACACCAGCATATGATACTTGATATATAAGGAGAAAAAAACATACCTACACAGAATTGGTACCTATAAATTATGTGCCTGACGTTCTGTTGAGACGCTAACTTGCAGAGAAATGACATACTATGCATTCCCACATCACCATAGAAAAATTCTATGATTATTAATTATAAGTTTTACTCGTAGTAGCCTAAGTTGGAAGAAGCATCTTTATCGGAGGCTCTCAGTCGTGGCGACACGTGTTAGATAACTTCAGAGGGGGACTTACTTCGAAAGGAAAACAGGCCACGCCTGAAATTGGCATTAGTGCAGCGGATCATCTCGGGAAATGAATGAGATCTTTTCAGATCTCGTTTATTTTTTAGACGCCATAAGTAGAGACACTCGCAGAAGGGATATTCTTCAAAAATATTGCGGATAAGAATTGCAAGGCGATTAAAAGCAGCTTCGCTATTTTTGGAATAGAAGAAATACTCCAATGAGACATGGCAGATGAAATAATGTAAATCAGTAAATCAACCAAAAAGAAGAGTGCATCACAGCAGCTTTCTAGTTAAAAGACACCGATATAATATATAAGTGTTAGACAACGGTATCTGGTGAACTTTACAGTGCAGTGCAGTGTTCTGTTCTCATTGAGTGCAGATTATTTTCGCTTGATATAATAAACGTTGAATAAAAACTCTTCCGTGAAAATCTTCTCAGATCCTGAGAACGTTGAATAAAATCTATTTCGACGTCCTCTCAAATATTACCTAGAAATATATACCCAATAATTCTGACTGATATTCTTTTACTGTTCATTTGTACGGAACTGAAGACTATTAAGTTAAGAAATTTGAGAATGAGATATTATTAAAAAGCTTGTGTGGTTCATCTCATCTCTTACATTTAGATTCAAGATTTCAGTGACAGTTATGATTTCATTGATATTTATTTGCCAGCTGCAAACGCGATGTGATGGCTCACAGAGAAATCTCATTATTAAATAAGATACCGTACTGAGATCTTTCCTGAGGGCTGAGATTATAGTAAATATTCTGATAAATATTCTTTGAAGAAACAACATGCATCAAATGTGGGATCTTATACCAAATTTAACACTAAAACAACCAATAGCAAAATAATTTATATAACTACTTATGCGAGCGCATAAAGACACCAAAAATGGAAGGCCCGCTCAAGGCTACCTACAAAGTCTCACGTCTGTGGTGATCAAAACAATTTAGTCATGCGCCTCAAGACTGCGTGAAGTTCAGTGGACGAACCGGCGTTCTACGAGACTTGTGCTTTCATTTCCGATTCACTCAACTTCTTAAAATTTACAGCTGAAATTTAAAACTTAATTTTGAGGTAAGTCTTCCGAAAATTCAGACTTAAAAAATATGTAATAATACGTACGGTTTCATAGGCAGAGAGTAACAGAATCATGGTGCTCCAGCAGGACAGGTTAACGTGATACGTTCTGGATGCACCAACGACTAACGAAACTTCAAAAAAATGAACGATTCTTCAATAATCGAAAAGTGAGCATCAATTTCACACCTTAATTCGGAACTGTGATTGATAAATCCTGAAGAATTAAGAATTATTTTTTTGTCAGAAAAATTGCAGTAAAAAAATATACAGGAAAGTTTCCGTATTTCAGAGCCATCTTCGGAAACGTAAAATTTTCATAGATTAACCTTTTAAACAGAACAAAAATAGAGCAACTCAAGAAATATTTATGAATACATTATGCTTTACAATAAGAAGCCTTATTACAGCGCACTATGTTAAAAACATATCAAACCATTGTTTTAAATTTATAATGAAATTTCGATTTATCCTCGAGTCTTAATTAGAGCCTTTGTAGTTCTGTAGTGATAAAACACACTAAATTTTCAACGGATGCACTTCTTTCAAGACCGATAAGTGCCCACCAATAAGTGACAAAGTTCCTAAATTTATAGTTTCGTTTAATCTGCATTTGATTATATCGTGGCATCGGATGAAGCGTTTCTGAATGTTTATTCGTGAAGCCGCCTCAAACTAATTTGCATGTTCATAGTGCCTTAGCATGCAAGTTCAAGAAGTGTTCAAGGAGGCAGATAAGCCTCACCTTCACGCTCCTTGTGAGATTTCATTAGCTTGCAATTTCAGACTTAAGTTATATTTTATGTCAAATAGTTTGGTAGCCCAATATTTCGTAGATAGTTTACCGCCAGCAGCTCTTCTATCGATTCGAAATAGAATGGCGAAAATATAACACTGAAAGTGACAGTTATTAATTCGATGGTCGACTTTTGAAGAGCTTAAAGATTTGAGTTAAATAAAGGAAATGATTAGTGTAAATCGGTTTTGTATCCTTGACGACTGAACTAATTTTTATATCAAGATTTTTTGGTTTAACTTGTTGCGAACACCGGAGTCGCGAACTAGGGTCGGGTAAATCCTGCATATTAAATCAAGATTTAACGCTCCTCGGATCAACCCGCTGCATAGAAACATTCATCGTGGAATTATAAATACGATACTCACCAACGCAAGGATGCGCGTCTCGGTCAGTAGCTCGGCCCCAGGGCCGGTCGAAGTGGAAAGGTTTACACTTTTCGCACTCACGCCCCGCTGTGTTGTGGGCGCACTGACACGCCAGCTCGCCGTTCTTGCCGGGCACGCAGCGGGAGGCATGTCCGTTGCACTTGCATCGTCCACCGACAGACAAATCAGCCACGGAGTATGTGAAGGGAGCCCGGCGGTAAGGATCGCCTAGGGCTGAGTTGTCGTTTTCAGATATGGTCGCGCTGCGGGGCCTGTGGAGCATCACTCGGATGTCCGTGGCAGTTACCCAGTCCTGGAGAACCGGAGACGCATCCAGCACGTGGGCAGAAGGACGCCCTTCCAGAGTACTGAAGGCTATGCGGGAGCTGGTGCCAAGAGGTCCTTGCCGCTGTAGGTGAGCATCTGTGCATAGAGGTTCTTGTTCGTTGGCCTTGCCGATCATGAGGCGTCGTGGGCGGTCGAAAACCGATAGGCATTCCGATGAGTAATACTGGAAAGGTTGCCAGGTAGCTCCGTAGTCCATACTTTTATGGATGGAAAGACTATCTGGCTTATCACCACAAAATTGAAGGTTCACGTAAGTCAGTTCATATTTTTTACCCAAGGACAAAGTAAGCGTGACGTTCTGATTATCCCCAGGCAACATGGGTGCTGAATGCCAACAGGTTAGGTTGTTAGGATTATTCAGATCAGTTAGGTAAGATGGAGGGTGAGAACGTGCGGGGTCTTTAGAATCACACACATGACACTGACGTTTGAGATCTCCCTTCTCCTGCCTGTCATAACAGAAACGTGTGACAGGGTCTCCGCATGTGCTGCTGGCTGTCACGGTGCGGCCAAACGCTGCGTTGATGAAGTCAGGCACGCATTTGGTGGGTCTTTGACCCATGTCGTCGTAGCAAGGATCTTGAGGAGCATGCTGAGCGTCGAACATCTTCAAGTAATTGCCAGCTGATACAAAGGCGACTGTCCAAACGGCCCACACCAGCGCCACAAACGCCGTGTTGCGCTTCATCTCTGTAGCGCGCCCGCCTAAGTTCACAATTCAAGCGATTTTCTTACATACCTTAACTGTTGGTAGAAGAAACCGTCCTAAAAGCTCCTGCAGTAAGGTAGACAAATTATGATCCAGACTGTGTTGACGCCAAATTAGCCCAAAGAACTCTCTTTAAAATGTTTTTTTTTTTTAATAACGATAGTTTCGTGTTAATCTTGTAAAACCTCTATTATTGATCACGATTGCACCAATGTTTTATCGATATTCTAGTAAATAATTCCACTGCGAAAGTCTATTGAGTTTTGTGATTGGATTGAGCTTGCACGAAATCACCGCCAAAGCCGAACAATCGGATAAGCCGAGCCCACATCCGCACATCCACACACAACGGCAGCCTGAGCATCACTGCTGAACGAGGCGCTTGCCATCGCTATTGGTCCCTGTAACTGTGAGGTGGGACGAGGGCTTATAGCTCCGCCCACTGACCTGACTTGCCGTGAACCCTTCAGGTCACCTAATTACACTAGACGATTTCTTTTAGAAGTAATAGCCATGCAAACAATAACAATGAATCCGTGTTAATCGACGGTGAAAAATGTGAACACTCTCGTGTGAACGATTGAGTCAAGTTTTGGATTTGACGGACTGGCTCCTGAACTTATTCCAGCGGTGGAATATAAGTATATAACCTTATAGAGTTATAGTTAATCTCTTCAAATCGGTATGTCCGCAGTCGGCTGTAAATATTCTCGAACAAATTGCTATATCAATTTTCCAATCAATTTATAGAATTTACACTTTGCACCGTTATAAATTTGGCTCACTTACAGCATTAAACACATTAAATCACCAATTACTAGGAAACCCTGCACAAATATTTTTCATGATACGGAGATGAGAAAAAAAACTTTTTATTTGTAGCGCATGAATTGTAATTTCATCAGTTCAATATCATTTCCATTTCAACAGAAACGTTCATTTGCACGTCTTAACCAATTCAGTGAAATATTAAAAAAATTGACCTGGTATACATGAGCCTTCGTGGGAAATATTTAAAGAAAATTTAACAGATTCATTCGTTATCTTATATGTGGGTAAATATTTATCATTTAACTGTAAGTTCTCTTTATTAATAAATAGTTCCATTAACCTTCCGTGAATTAATTAATATTAATAATATTAATAATGGAATTAATAATTCCATTAACATTCCGTGAATAATTCCGTGAAGTTTGTGGTTTATGAAAATAGGTGCCAGCTGAAAATATTTTTCATCATCTACTAATAGTTGTCTAAATTTTCAATTTGCTTAAAAATGATCGAGGTGGATTGAGAAAACTTCCGGCGCTAATTGGTCGCGTCTCTGTAGTTCTTCACACAATAATTTAATCGAACTTGTGATAGCGCAGCCACTTATTTGCATAGCTGCTTGTTGAAATCAATTCCAAACACATATATTCTGCTGTAATGTTTTCATTTATTTTAAATGCATTTATATTTTTGCAACAATGTGCTTGATTATTGAACATTAAAACATTTATAAGGTATACAAATTTTCATCTTTACTTGTTGAACAAAAGACAATTCAGCGTTGAATTATTAATTAGCTTTGAGTGAAGATTTCCTGTTTCTAAGATTTTCGATATCAATAAATTAGGTATGAAGGGCAATTATCATGAAATCAGTTATTACAAGCGCTATACTCTACATATTAAAAGGACGTCGTGTTTTAAACTTTTGTTTAATCTTCGCGTCTTTTTCACAAATATTATAAGATAAAATTTAAAATTTACCTAAACCGAAAAAAGTCCTTAAAATCTTTGATGTGATAGCTCTGAACTCACTTAAACATTATTCTTGTCTTAATACTGATGATACTTAATTAATATATACTGATGCACGCGATCGAACGAAAATGAAGGCAAGGCAAAACAAATGAATCGCGTCACATTGGTCCCTCTGAAGCTTTTCCCCATTGGTTATAGAGTCAGCGGATTGCATGCCGTTCAACACAGACGAGTTTGAATTTTTTGTGTGTTTTTCTTGGATCTCTCAAAATTTTATGCAGGGAAAGTTGTCTAGCTCTATCTTTTTAAGAAACCAAGAGCTTCAAACTAATTATAGTAATGACCTGTATATTACAGTGGCCAATATATAAGGCACGCAGTTCTGATCATGATTGTTGCTGTTAATTTGGGCGCTTTTAGAAATGATAAGTGTCCTAATTAGCTGTTAGTCAGGACCACAGGCCTGCGCCTGTGCCATGGAATTACTTTATTCCTAAGATGTTACAGCAGAATCTGCACAGACAATCTGCAACGGAGATGATTTTATCTCTGAAATGCACACCATGACTATTAATTACCCAGTCTGCCCATCAAGAGAGCTTCACTGCTGCACATTTCGGGTAGTACTGTAACGAGTGTTTTGGTAAATGATTTATTTTTTATACGTCATAATTTGAGAGGGTTCAGTATTATATGCAACAATTGACATTCCAGACAAGTCATTGGAAAATGAACTCGATTTGGTGATCCAATTGATGTGTGACTTGCTGACCTATGTATATTTGCATCTGACAAGACGAAAATGCTGCAAAAAAGCCTTGGATAGGACGGCCCAATCTTGTCTGGCGAGATTTACCGTAAGTGGATTAACATAAATAATTTCCTATATTTATATAGGAGCCGAATTAAAATAAGGCCATTTAGTGCTTAGACCCACGTAGATATGTATAGCGCTTGCGACACTCTATCTGGCAGTGTATATATATAGGCCTTCAGATGTCAATTGCCAGTCAAAATTCGAAGGATGAGATACTTATTTGCCGCCTCGCAGCTAGCAACGGTTTTGCAGGCTAGACTGATAGAATTTTGAAAGACACCGTCACGTGATACAAAAAAACTTGAGGTTCTATAGGGTCTCGTTATGTATATAGAGATCTCATAGTTATTGCATGAAAATAAAAACAGTTTTTATCGTCTGCAATCTTGAACTTTCCTAAATCATCATTTGAAAGGTTGAAACTGTTTTAGTAAGAATCGAACTATCAAATATCCAGGGAAATTATAGCTAACTAAATTTTATGCATTGGTCGTGGACGAAAATTTTATTTTTTATAATTTAAAGCGCAATTGTGCTCACTCGAGACACTTATGGCTCTTATCAAGCTTCTTGAAAACTTTGGGCGGCACGAAGTTGGACTTTTTATGAGTACAGCCGCAGCCATCAAAATGTAGCGCGGTTGCGGAGGATCTTGGTCGTCTGCAACGGTCACTCAAAAGGTGAAACACACGAAGACATAGCACCGTAGAGATGTTTTCTGGACTCTGCTTATAGACCACTCAACTTCAAAGAGAATTCTATTAGAATACTCAATACGGGAGGGAGTAGGATTTTTGTAATTAACCTGATCGCATACGGTGCCATGTAGCTAGAAAGTTCGATCCTACCTCATGCAGGTATGTTGTTTTCATAGCAATAAAGCACACCTGCATGCATGACCACTAAATTTACCGCGCCTGTTAGGTTCTGGAAATTGTTTTGGGCTTTTGATCGAATGAAATATTCAAACCTATACATTCGTTAACGCGAAGCATCCCTATCAAATGGGAGAATACAATGATGGCCGTCACGCGCAATTGGACTGCAACGAAAATATTTTACAATTATAATCATGAAATGATAAATACTGTAATACCCTCATTATTAAAGCTTTCAATGCCTGAGCATGCGCGTTTATAATTTCGACGCGGATGTTTCTCTGCCAATGCATTAGCCCTCTACCGCCGTAGGTCACTCTCCAGGAACATCATTTTCAACTTGAATTATACGTAAACTATTTAGTGTAGCAACCTGAGGACGTTTGTACGCAACAGAAAACATTTTAACCCTCTATACCGCCGTATGTCACTCTCCGGGAACATAAGTTTCAACTTAACCCTCTACCGCCGTATGTCACTCTCCAGGAACATTATTTTCAACTTGAATTATACGTAAACTATCGAGTGTTATAGCAACCTGAGGACGTTTGTACGCAACAGAAAACATTTTAAAGTTGTATGTGGCGGCAACCATCAGTGCAAGTCATTTTGCGCTCACTAGACCGTATCCTTTTTGGGAAGTAGGCTTGTGACAATATTGCTCCGGTTACTCATGTCAGGCGGTAGAGGGTCAATATGTAATTAGAATTATGAAGTTTGTAAGACATAATCTGATCAAAATTTTGTCTGTTTACAACGTTTCAGGTATAGGTATTACTATATGTAAAATAACATCGCGATTGCCCATCTTACAAATTTGAAGGGCCAGAGTTAAATAGAAAACATAACTAATTGTTGTAATGCGCCGCGGGATGAATTATTACAAATTTCTACGTTATTTTGTTTTCTATTAAAACGGCAAAATGCGAAACTGAACAGCTCTGAAGTCTCTCAGTCATGAATGGATCTGCATAAAATTTAGAACACATCTAATTAATAGCCAGACTCCGCGGTAGGAATCGACGCAAATATTTGCTTAACTTCGTTTTCGATTCAAACTACAGTCAATATTAATTGTGACTAATTACCAGACTAGTGGCCTCGTGTACAGGCGATATTGCCTGCTCCAGGGGTTAATAGCGAGTAGTGGCCAGTAGCTGCCCCATCGGAGCCCATAACTTCCAGCTAACAGGTTTTTACGACATGTCTGTCAAGGAAATAATTTCTTCCAATCTTTGGTTTAAAATTAAGTAACAGAGAGGTCAAACGAACAAGTTCAGAGAGCATATAAAGTGGTCGTTCGCTCCTTGGTTGGGACTAACTACTAGCTATCATCTGCGGTAGCCTGCAGGTGGTGATGGCATAAGAGACTTTCTTCAATCCTTGGCTAGGGTGTAAATGTGTGAAATTTTGGCTTTGGTTAAAAGACATCAAAACTTACGACGTATTCGTATACTATTCTCATGTAAGTATAAATTTTGAAAATTCAAATAAACCACATCTTCATTTCAGATGTTCTCCAGCTCGCTCCAGCTAGTCTCTGTTTTAGCCGGCATTGTTTATCCAGCCTAAATAGAACTATCCAGCGTCGGCGTGAATAAGGTGTCCTAGTATGCCCGACGTGTTGCCATCGTTGAATTTGTAAATATCGCCACTAAGTTAGCACAGACTATTGGCCTGGTTTATGCTTCGGTCATCATGGGTCTTGCCTGTTCTTTGTTCCTCAAAATATTTCCTGTTGCCACTTCTGATTCTTCGGGTGTTGCAGGGCTTGAGAAAGCTTCTCCACATTCTACAGAGCGGCAGACCGATCGACACTGCGTCATGAACTTATATGTTTCTCGTCATGCTCGATTAAAGGCTCGACAGCAACATCATTCACTAAATATTCAGCTATACATCGCTAAATCT